CGGCTGGAGACCTCCACTAGTGAAAGCCAGCATGGACTCTAGGCTGAACTTGGGTCAGTAAAGACAGTCATATGGAAATTGGTTTGCGAAGCCTGCTGATGAAGTACAAGTTCAGGACCAGGCGAGAGCCTCTAGTCTCCAGTATCTTTACAGGCAATGAAATATAGAGAAGCCTTAACACCTTGCCACCAGAAGAAATGGGAAAATGGCCATTTTGAGCAGCAGGTCTTGGATCTCTGCTCTTAGGGAATAGGGCCATGAGTTGGAGGGCTATCCAGAAGCCCGATGAGAAGTAGCCGAGAAGTATGGCCTCTCTTCTGAAAGTGGCCCTTGACCTTGTAAAGCTTTAGAGGTATCACCAGCTGGAAAATGGATGCAGAGCCTGCCTGAAGTCGGTAAGCCTGTCTAGAAAGCAGATTTGACTGTGTGGAGAACGAGGGAGATACCGGTATTATTTTATATGAAAATTATATGTACCTCAATTTACCTCCTTGATTTGTTCTGGCTGGCTGAATGGAGTTAAATCAAAAGAGGAACAAGCAGGAAACAAAACAATGACAGAGATAAAGTATCTCCAATGAGAATAATACCAGGGTTCTTAGGAAAACAATGGGTGATCTAGTCATTGGGAATTACTACCTGCTTGTTGCTAGCCAGGTTAACAGGCCTATTTTTTCCAAGGCCAGAGCTTAAGATCAAAAGAACAATAAACTACTAAAAACCGATGCCTAGAGAGAAAAAGGTAGGTGAGCAGGCAGCAGCTGCTCAGAGATAGACTCGGCAGGACAGACACGTAGAGGGGTGGGGGTGGGGAGAGAGAGAGTGACAGACAGACACTACAGGAGGAGAGACTGTCTCCTGCCCAGATAAAGACAAAGCCTGCAGCAGGACCATGGAACTAAGGCAGGGGCTCTGTGGGATGTCTGGGACAGCTAGGCTCACCTAAGCTTTGGGAGAGGTGATGAGCTGTAGGTAAGACCCAGGGTGCGGGCCCATTGTGGGTTTAATCCTTTCTCCCTGCTTCCAGGTTACCTTTGGGCAAATGGGCAACATGGTTGTTTGGAAGGCCCTGTTCTAAGTCACTTTAACCAACCACTGGCACCTGCAGAGGAGTGTCTTGTAGGTGCCAATTGCAGTGGGGCTTGTAGTGCTAACACAGTTGGAAAATGGTGGACTACCACCCTGGCATCCAGTCTGAGAGTGGCAGAATCACAGGGTTCCAAGGGCAGAACAGTAAAGGTAGCAGTTGAGGGGTGCAGTTGTGAGGGACTGCAAGGAAGTATAAAGCACCTCTCACCCTGTAACTGGCAGGTCAGTGGGAATAGGGGGTGTTGTAGTCTGGTGAGCTAGTGTAATGTAGGCTGGACCATGGGGTTCCACTCTGGGAAGTGTGCAGATAGAGGCCTGTCATGTGGAGAGAATGCCTATGGTAGAGACTGGGGGAGATTATAGGTGCCGCTTGTCCCTGAGCCCTCACATGCCAGTTGGAGGAAGAGCGGAATTGCGATGGAGTCCTGCTGGTGAGACACAATGCAAGAACACATCTTTATTGAATAGATCACAGAGAGTTGCATTTAAGTCAGAACACTAGGCGTATCTCAAGGCCAAGGGGTCAGGTGCCAACAAGGCTCAATGAAACCCAGCTATATATTTCAGTCTCATCAGGAGCAGCCAGGACAGTCACATTCACACCCTTTGAAGTGTGAATTTGTGTGGCAGTCTACTAGGATTCTCTTGCCTGCATTTTTTGGTGAGGTAATAATTCAATAACCTAACAGATACTGAATTACCCACAAGCTTTCTGACATCTGGGCTTTTACTTTATCTCAGACTTCCCTTAAAATAACCTTAGCTGGATTACAGGCCTATAATTCATGTAAAGATTTATTTAAGTATTTATAGAATGTGCCAGGATAAAAAGAAACCCCTTCCTCCCCCCATCACCTGCAGCAGTATTGGAAGATAAAAGCCTTGATGATTCCAAAGAGCCTGTGGAAATGTGTAACATTTTGGATGCTGCTGTTGTATTCGCTAATTAGACTAGAAAGGATTTTATGTTTTTTTAATGGTATTTTAAGATCATTTGAAGAATTTCTATGTGCTGACCTTCTCTTTCTGTGCTCCATCCTTCTCTCTGGTTTTAGAGAGTCCTGCTGTTATGTAAGCAATTGACTTGACAAAGTGCAGCAAGCTGTTTATCCTCAGACATCTTACTATTTCAGGTCCTAATCCCTTGGGCTGGCTGTAGTCGCTGATTTCAGAAGCAAATATCACTTTATGGTAGCAAGCCATTAACCAGTTATGTGCACTTTTGCGCTGCATTATTTAAAATAAAAAAATTACCATGAATATCGTAAGAAACAAATTTGCACTTTAATCTCTGTGATCTTCAGTATTGTTCATTCACCTGTACAATAACATGTTTGATCTCGGAGAGAACATTTTGCCAACCTAAGAAACAATGTCCTCCAACTCCGTCTTCTCTAACATGGCTGTTTTAGCATTTGTAAGATTTGAAGGCAGTCAGGGACCTTTTCTGCCTTTGAGATATAATACCACTTTTGTAATAACTGCAACCATTCTTCGACCTTTTAAACAGAGAGTGAGAGAGAGAGAGAGAGGTTGAGGAATGCAAGGGCTGAACTGAAACTTCAGGATTGAGATGGCCAGCACAGTGTTCTGAGTCATCAGTTAATACTTGTGCAGAAAACCAAGTAATTATTACATAAAGTTTTCTAGCTATAAAAGCTTTAAGCAATGGAGCAACAAAATGTTCACTTTCAGAAAATCCTTTCCTTGCTCCAGTGATGTCTCTCAAACATTTTGAATCAAATAACACAGTAATTCAGTGAAAATTAATAGTTGCTCACATAAAAAAATGTAAGAAAATATTTGCTGCCCCAACAGAATAGCAGTGATGCATCATACATTGGTTGACATCAAAAACTCAACACTTACCCACAATTAGGGCATCTCTTTTTCTCCGTGACCCTCCTTTGTCAGCTGTGATCTCTGGGAAAATGCTGATAACAAGGTCTAGGATGAAGCTTGTGAAAGCCAGGGAGAAAGCCTTCAAAGGCAAAGGTACTCACTTTTGGAACAAATTCTAGGAGGAAGTATAGGCTTGCCCTCTTTAGAACACTAAGATTCACTCATTTGCCAAAGCCCTCTTGCCTTAACAGACAACAAGGAAATACGAACATGGCAAGAAAAAACAACCCTAGAAGAGAAGAACTGAGTTCACTCTAATTCCACCATGAACATTGCTTTAAAGATATCAATTCAGTTTAGCACTTAGATATTACAGGAACGGGCACTGCAGCAAAACCATAAATGGACAGTTGCCACCAGAGTGGTAGTGGACGCTGTGAAGTCATTTCCTATAAACAGTCTAGGCAGATAGCAATGTCTCAAAATTCCTCTGCGTTCTACCTGGATAAATGTTGGCATACTGGTGGTGACCAAAGTAAGTTAAAAAATAAAGATAATGTAGTTATATTTAACATTCACAAAAAGTGCTGAACAGAAATTACACGTGTGCTTATTTTCACACAAACAAATGATTGGAAACCACACCCCAAAAATAATTTATCAAAGGAGTTGGGGAAAAAAGGTCCCGACCTCTGTTTTTCTGCAGAATACAGTAAAGAAAACGAGAAATCCTCTAAATTGGTTAGATCATATTTGCATGCAGGGCCTGATCCAATGCCCACTGAAATCTGTGGGGGAGGTCTTTCCATTGGGCATTGAAGCAGGCCCAGAGTGTGTATGTATGTCAATATCTCAATTCTTTAAACAAACTTTTGCTGCTTTCCTTTTGTAGAAGAAGGAAGTGTTCTCAGTTGAATGAACATAGAGAATCGCAGATCAGAAACAAACATTCTGAAGCACTCCAGCAGTTTGTAAATATTGAGGGTTTTATTTCCACTTCACATGGTCTCAAACAGACTCAAACAAGACCAATCACAATTTAGTATGCCCAGAGTTCTCAATGTTTTCCCAAAACACAGAAAGTTCTCAGTAAACACTGTACATAGCCAGCTGAACTGTTAACAATAATTTAAAAACTTTTTTTTTGTATAGTCAATTCAAGAATACCAACAATAAAAGTACAGTACAGATAATTTCACAACAATATTACAGTGAAACGGGTTGACTCACATTTATGTGATGGTACGAGTAGAGCAACAGTATGTACATGCACTAAAGTGCTAGGAACCCAAAGGCATGCAAGTCAAGTATTGTATGTGTATTATACAGCTAACTTCACAAGACTTTCTGAGGCATTCTTTTCTCTTTTAAATGTGGTGTGTTTACCTGTATTCCCCTCCAGCTTATTTAATTCAATTCTAGTCAACTACCTTAATGGCTTTCACTACTTAAAATGTACTGCTTCTGACAATATGAAGCATCCCTAAGAACCTTCCTCTTTTAAAATTGGTGACACTGACATTAAAATAGAATAAAATTAACTTTAAAAAGACCCTAATTTTACATGGGGACAACAAAACAAAAAACCCTCAGACCCCCACCCCCCCAATAACCAAAATAAAAAACACAACAGTGCAAATATAACAAAAAGGCAGTCAGTACTGGGGGAGAGAGAGTGCATTCAGTTTCCCTTAAAACTTACATTTTATTTTAAATCTTATTCTTTATATTTATATCATTTTACCTTTTTGTTAATAGACTGTATGTAGAAAAGATGGAGACAAAAATAGTTTTCTGAGCTATGAAAAAATTAAGTTATTACAGGCACGTTAACTGTTTCATTCTAGAAACATCGCTGTTTCACAAGTTGGACATTCAGCAGCTGAGCTTGAAAACATTCGTTGACCTCAACAACTAGATCTCTCTTTGTTGAGAAAGACGGGCCATGGTGATCGTGCTAAAATGCAAATTACAGTGAATTCTTCCCGTGATAATTCATGCAGGCTTGCATCACTGGTTTGGGTTCTCCATCGGCAGTTCCTTGCTTCCATATTCCTCAAAGGAAGTCAAATCTCCAGTTGACTGAGATTGTGAGGCAGTAGGGGAATGTGAAGCCCATCTTGAAGGTGGGCGCCGATTTGCTGGTCTCTCTGGCCGTGAGAAGCAGGATTCTAGGGACGGAGCTAGTGCGGAACAAGGCAGTTCCTTTGCAACAAACACATGGAAAAAAATATTAGTAACGTGTACACTGCCCATTTACATGTGCAAAAAAACAAACGATAACTAAGCATCTTGTGAGAGGGAACAAAACCAAGCAGCACACTTTTCTGCACACAAAAATATCTACATTTACGTCTGTGACTGATGGAACAGAAAAGGAAAGAAGAAAAGAGAGAAGGTTTTGGTGAACTGAAGCAGCTGACAAACTTCTGTTTGCTAATATTCCTTGGACTACAAAGAAAAAGAACTGAAAGATATATTTGCATGATAATTCAATAAACCCCACTATCCATCACATTGCTTCAAAATGCTAAACTGGGAGCAAAGTGGCAGGTATTTCATTTCAGGTGAAAGGCAGGCACTCGCTCATTCCTCTGCTTCAGAGGTCAGACTGAAATGCAGGCAAGACTTGCTTAGCTGGAGAGTACTAAGCATGGGACTAGTTACTGCTTCCAACTACGTTAAAGAGGAGGCTTGCTTAACAACTTGAACTGAATATCTACAACGTATCAATCCTTGTTGCCAACTGACTGCGCCTGAGTTACAGGAATTCAGTGGTACTGTAGGTTAAAGATGGATATCCACAATTAAAAAAAGGATGAAAATCTGCAGGGCTGAAAATTTAATTTGCTACAACATCTTCTCACTGCAGCAGAATCTGTAGGCCTTCTATGCAAGTAGAGACAAACAGCACTTGTGATTTTTCACACCGGCACCCTATTTATATTTAAAAGTTGATAATTACTTCTAATATTGATAGACTTCTCCCACAGAACAGATAGATTTCATGCATGTTTTGCATGCCCATTATATCAAGTTGACTGATTACTTGAAGCGTGGCTGCCTTGTGCTACCAAAGCAAAAATCTTCAATTTCTGAGGCTTAGAAACTATAAAAGCAAATCAGCTGAGTTTGTCAACATATAGAAATGTATACACTGAAGAGAGATCGCTGTAAAGGGTGAAAGAGTTATGTGCAAGTTACTATAATAAAATCTGAATACAAACTGGCAAAATATGAAGGCAGAGCTTATAAATCAAATGATGCAAAGGAAGAGCTAACGAATGATAAGCCAAAAAACCCCAAAACAAAACTAAAATACCAGTAGAGCAATAAATAGGAAGTAAAAAATTTAATATCATGCCATGCTATGTACGGAGAGAGAGAGGAAAGTGACTAAGAAATATTGAATTAGGTAACATGATATGATACGCAAGATGATGTAATACAGAAGTATCTCAGACAATAAAATGGGAAGGAAGATGAATGTTGTAGAACAAGAGAGCCAGAGGACATCAGACTGCCTGTGTGTGCGGCACATACATATGTAGGTTGTGGAGGAGAGTATCACTAGAGCTCAGCAAGCCTCTGAGAAGGGCCAACCCCTAACCTTTACACAGTAGGCAGCTAAAAGTGTGATCAGTAACACCACATTACTGTTTAAGCTCATGTTCTATTGAGATGCCTTCAGCATTTCTGGAGAGCAGTACTATATTGTGAATGACATAAGTGCTGGTTAGCAAAGAGCCCTACGATCACCTGCAGACATACACATTTGTACTACAAACTTAAAAACAACTCTCTGTTAAAACAACATTAAGATTGAAGTATAACTCAATACTAGTAAGGATACTGCCTCTGTGTCCTTACTTCACCTTATCCTGTTGTGCCTAAGGAATACACAGTATGTCGTACTGTGCTGAGACTTCTAACAGAAGTCCCTATGTGCAATACCTACAGGAGGCACAACAGGATGAGCTGAGACTGTATTTTTCTGGGCTTGTGTCTCTATTGAAATAGCAGCTTTTAATTACATTTTTCTAGCGTTGTTTGCTTTTAGCAAACCGAGAGGGAGTCAATATTATGGCAATGGTAAACAATTTTGGCTATCTATGTAATATAGCCACAGATGTTGGTCAGAAAGGCAGGGTTAAGTCCTCCTCATTCTTATTGGTGATATACACATGTACAGCCCAACACACATTGCACAAGCAAGTCCTGGTGCTTCAGGGCACACAGGTAACTGGCAGCACAGTCTTTTAATGTGTTGGCTGAAAAATGAATCTTTTCTAGGAGTCATGATTACATGCACATTAATCCTAATTATCGGTCTATGCGCTTAGAATGCGTGAAGGAAATGAAAGAATTAAAAGAACACTGCCAAAATATTATTTTTAAAAATCAAAATTTCATGCAACTACCATCGATCATTAAAACTGTAATTTATAAAAATGACTTTTCCTTTTGGTTATTTGTTCATGTTTCTAAGCTTAGATCATAAAAATGGGCTAGGTAATTTCAAATTTTTGTTTCTAGTCAGTTTCACTTTTAGATTGTTGAAAACACTACAGGGTTGTAAGTATTTGTTGGAAAATTGTTGCCATTGAAAATTGGGGGGAGGGAGGGAGGAAAATTGGAGGGAATCATGGATACATTTATATTGGTCCCAGGTTTTGTAAAAGCTTCTATTCACAGAATTTAAATTTTGGCCTACATTTGACCTGACAGTGTCCATTTAAATCTCAAGGAAGCTAGTGGGAGCTATCAATGTTCATGTCCAACATAATGATGGCAGAAGGCAGAATAGGCCAATCTTTAAAGTATACTATTCCAAGTCAGAAAGAAACATTTCAAGGGCAGAACTGTATAGGAATCAGCTGCTATTGGATGTTCTTGGCTACCTCAAGTATTGTAGTTGTTATTGCTACTTACATATCTCCACTAGCTCAAAGTTTCAAAACTAAAGCTTTCAGTCAGTTGTGGAAACAAGGTAGAAAGAACTTACAGCAGTGAGGCAGGCAGGGTTAGAGTCCCCAGGGGGCAGTTAGTAAGACAGTTTGGTTCTGGACAGGATAGAAAAAAGAAAAAGAAAAAAGAAAGCAAATAGGTTGGACAGTTGTTTTTTTTTAAGTGAAGATGTATACTCAGCAAGGAAGAGCTCATCAGACGTCACTACTGCTCATATCATGTTACCAGATGTCATGGGAGGGCTAAGAGAAAAGACTAACAATCAGATTTAGAGAACAAACCAACCAACCTTGCACTGTCTTAGAAATGGACATAGCATTAAGGAATCCAAGCATTCCTTCTAAGTGGAGAAAGATATATGCTATCCTTTGACAATTCATATTTAGGTCAGGGAAAACAATGTTACCATGTAGGAGGAATACTGCAGGGTTGTTTTTTCCTTCGTTTGATTTTAAGTGAGAGAATATCTGTAAATTCGTAACAAAGAAAAACCCACTGATGTTTTCTGTTACTCTGAAGCCATAAAAGGCTTTGATAGATATTTGCTTCACCCTTCCTTCTTAGTCCATTTAATGACAGTAAAAGGGAGGCTCAGCTGAAGTAAAAGCACTTTACTCTGATGCCATCTTCCCTCTGCCCAATTCCTGAGTGGTTCAGCTGGGTATGTTCAGCAATTACTCAGCCATTAAGAACAGAGGTGGAAAGATTAGGTTTCTTGCTGGATATGCCTTCCAGGAGTGTTTTCTCTTCTTCAGCCCCAGTATGATAATGTGACCTATATAATGCTCTAAGTACCTGCCAGGCTCAGAAAAGGAATCTTCATGTCACTTTTTTGTGTCTAGCCTGCTAAAGTTATCAATGGCAATATTTATAAACCCCACGACTGCCTGCTACAATAGTGGTTTAGTGAATTAGCAGGATAAGGCACTGGTAGGCCAAATCTGGTGGTGGATATGAATTTGCTTGTAAGCAGCTCTGAGCAAGTTAGAATGCAAACAGAGCTATTACCATTGTGTGTAGCTAGATATTGAAAATAAATTCCAGCGTTTCAGCAGAAATGTAAAAGGAAATAACTGCAACTCCAGAAGTTCAAAGAAAAAAAGCTGCTAACTGGTGCTCCATGCAGGTTTTAAAGTCATTAATTACGCCTCAGGAAATTCTGCACCACTGCGCAATGCTGAATTTTGCAGAAATTAACGTTGTGTGTGCAGAATTTCCTTTCTCCCACAGAAATGGGCTGCAGTGCTGCTGGCTGCCACTAGGGACCGCTGGACCTGGCAGAGCCCAGCTCGCACACAGAAGACACGGGCGGGGAGGAAGGGGAGGGAGAAGAGTTGAGGGAGACAGAGGGTTCCTGGCAGCTGCAATTCCCAGCACACCCTGAGGGAAGGAGACAGTGGTGCGCAGGAATCTCCTGGAACCTGGGACCAAGCATCAGGCAGAGAAACAGGGACTGGGTTGTCATAGGGGTTTCTTTAACTCTCTAATCTTGGGGGAATTTTTGTGTGTGTCTGTATTGTTACAGACATACTTGCTGACTGGTATTTTGAAATAAATTACCAAAATAATTGAAACTGGTGTGATTATGTAGTGTTATTTTGACAAATAAAATGTGCATAATTTTAAAATATTATGCACAGAATTTTTAATTTTTTGGCGCAGAATGTCCCCAGGAGTAATTAATGTATCATGCCATGACTACAAAGAAGGGAATGGTCTCTTTGGTGTGATGGTCACTTCTATTGGCTGGAGATAGGTAAGTAAAGAAGAGACACCGCAAAAATCCTACACAGAGAGGTGGTGGCAGCAGCAGCACTGACATGGCATTTCACTCAGCATAGCATGCCTTCTAGGTGAGGCTCAGACATATGTGGACAGTGTAATCCATAAGTAACCCAAGGCATATTCAGATCCTAAACTTATTTACAGCTTCGTTTCCAACAACAAATCAACATTCCACAAACATGTCTCTTTAAAACCCCACCACATTTTGGAAAATTAACATATCTGAGTGAAGCTCACAAAGTTACCCCTTCAGGGGAACAGCGCACGTTCCTGGGAGGGGATGGGACGCTATGGCTGTAACCTGTGCAGCTAGCAACTAATCCCCTGTCAAAACCAAATGTTTACTCAGTGCCAGACTATGAGTGGGCCTTGCAAAGGGGAAGCAAGAAGCTTCCCCTTCACTGTGTGTGGCTGTGTGAGAGCCTCCCATGCCCTCCCCCAATCCCTGCATTCTGGGACGCACAGGGGGCTGCTTCCGTCTACCACTTCCCTGGAGAAAAAGATGCTCAACAGAAGGCATAAAAGGGTGGGAAAGAGGCAATCTCACGGCCTTACCTCCTCTGCTCCTCATGAGGCTGGTGCACTGAGGGAGCAGATGGAATACATTGTGCAACCCCTGCATTTGGGGAAGCCCAAGAAAAAATTGTGCCTGCCTGAGGCAGTGTCTCTCTGGTGCTTCCCTTCCCCTGGGGTGCTGTAATTCTGCATCACTCCCTGCACAGCGCTGTGCTGTAAATGACACAATCTAACTCTTAAAAGGGACATGGCCCCTGGAATGGCTCTGAGGCCTGATATCCTAAAAGTTGGTCAATGGGCATCATTTTGGTTTTGAGAATTTTCAAAGAGCTGCAGTCGTCTGCCATGAGCATTGTGATTATCTGATAAATTGCATCAGGTACGGCTATCACCAGACACCATACCCATGTTTTGAAGTTAGTTACTTTTGCCAACAGCAATTTGTGGTGATGTGGCACAACTTCAGCTTTTATATACTGGAAATTTGTTGTGACATTTCAAAGGTACACATGGAATTCCAGAGTTTTGAACGATAACTTGAAGGCAAAGCTGAGGTGAAGCTGTGAGAGTACAACACATATTTTTACAAATGTAATTATATGGGAACAGTAATCCATCAGCTATACTTCTGGTTTTCAAATAAACCAAAAAATATATACATGGCCAAGATAGTCCAAGACAGCAAAGCGGCTTTCTCCACTTTTGTTTATTCTGAGGTACATGCACAAACTACACTTCCATTCATTTTTACAGATAATGCAAACATTGTCTGTGTCTCTCTCTCTCTCTCCACACACACACACTCTCTTTCTCTCTCTCTCTCTCTCACTTATTTCAATTTAAACATAAAGGGCACCGACATGAAAGATCTAGATGCTCTGTTATCAATTGAAAATATGTCCAATAACTATTAAAAACAAAACAAGAGCAAACTTCACCCATTTAAAACAACCAGTCACAGAAAGAAAAATTGCAGGACAAAATCTCCCACCACTCAGATCCCCAACATCTCCCTCATCCCGCTCTAAATGCCTGTTTAGAAGAACAGAGATTATGGCATGCCCTGAAAGTCAACAAATTGGTGCTATTTGGGGCCATGCAAAGGAGTGAATTCCAAAATAGAGGGGCCCTGATGATAAGTACCCTGCTAGCTGCTCCCTCTCTTATATACCCAGGGGACCTCTAGCTTGAGCACCTTCACTGATCTGAGAGTCAACAGTGTGCTCTTGTTGCCAAGAAGGCTAACGGCATTTTGGGCTGTATAAGTAGGGGCATTGCCAGCAGA